GGCGCACGCATAACACATCACCTCGTACGTGAATCACCAGGCGTTTCTCGAATTGGGATGAACATAAAAGTCTGGATTTCCGTTTGAGTGTGCAAGGCTGTCACTTAGCTGTTCGTGGGACGATGAGGTGCATAGAGTGTATGAGTTATGTGCCTTGCAATATGGGATTGTCGTAGCATGCTTTTGCCGCAAACTCTCCGCCCGATATCGTAACCACAGGCAGTCTGGCGATCCAATGTTGCAACGTCTTGTGGTGTTTGTATATGTGACGGTGGAGTCACAATCGGTCGTATACAAGAGCGAAATCCACATCTCCACGGATTCTCAAGCTAAGTCCAGTGCATCCGTGAACGTCATGTGAGTAGTTAGCATGAGTGAGCAGACCCAGTTGAACGGCTCTAAATTATCAAACCAGATGTGAATCAGATGGGGATGCAGTGCTTTAAATTCGTTTAGGAATATACTACAAGCGCGTTCCACTAGTAGACTAGGTTTTCCAGCAGTAATATTGAGAAAATTAAGTTACCCCGAGCAGCTCACTACACGACTGCTATTTCTCTGTGCAACCAATTGTACGAAAACGACACCATTCCAACGAAGTGCCATCGCTGGCAGGTGTTCCAGCCTGATACGACGTCATATGAATTTTCACCATTCGATTGCTAGTTATACGTTCTTCCTCAACTAGATCTGTCCCTAAATACACACTTTACACGGGCCGAAGTGGTGTATGAAAGACAAAGGCGTGTGACTGCCAAAATCGGACATCACTTCCTCACATTGAGCAAGTCAGTTATCCAGGTGAAGCAAATTTTTAAAGAAGACAATGACTGATCAGATCCAAATTGTAGTTTGCACTAGTCGAAAGTTGTTACACAGGGGTCAGTTTGTTCTCGCTGGCTTTCATTTTATATTTCTGTTTCTACAAATGTCCCACTATCTTGCCCATAAGTGCTGATTCATCCAACCGCTCGCTGAGATGCTTATGTGTAACTAAATATATACATGAAACAAACTGATTCATCTCATGGGCTGCAGCCTTATTAGAGGGGGGAAGGAATTTCTATACCATGTAGTGTAAGACCGTTTATAGTAGGTTGCAATTCTTTAGTAACAGTACCGTATTTTCTTCGTAAACTAGCGCTAATCTACGAGATTGAGCAGAAACTGAAGCGGAATAGAGCATCATCAATTGTTTATCACCTACGAGCGCTCTGACAGTAAAGCCATACATGGGTAGTGAACAACCGGTTTTAACTCAGGCATTACAGAGTCCAGGTTAACTTGCAGAATCAAAGACCAAGCGCCGGACTGCATCGTGACTATGTGGGTATAATGGACACCACCAGATTTGGGACAGTGTGTGTTGTGAGCCTGTGTGCATGGGACTGTATCTGACAGAACAATAATGCGTAAGCTCACAAAATCCGGGATTGATTCATGAGATGTAATTTGCTTACGCCCAAACGTTCCGTCATAAAATCGAACTGCTTCCTGTGGGTTTACGAGAGGATTGAGAATTGAAAAAGACGTTTCCTTCTGAAATGCTTTTCAGTTACGGTATCTCACACAGACCTATTGCATGCTGCATGTAGTTGCGGGACTTGCAGGATTCATATCTACATGAATCCGGATTTGAACATTTCCCCTGCTGTACTGAATTTCCTATCCTGCTGAGTTTACACCAGAGAGTGAAGAGCCACAGAACTTGAGATCAACTCTTATTAGACTGTATATCATTGAATGTGCTGAGGTTTGAGCTACGGGCATCTGACATGCTGAGTGACCACGCCACTTCCAGTTTGCTAGTGCACACTGGAAGCAGCTCAATTACCTTGTCGCAATTTCAGACGGTCTTCCTTCTTGCTCCTCTTGACGTCTCGAATAACAGTGCAGTAACTAGCTCGTTCCAGTCAATCTATACACCCAATCGTGTCAAAAAGCTAAACCGCCATAACTGGCCGTTTCCGTCAGATGTGCCTTGGCTATAGGTCTGCTAGTCGCTTGCAGGTTTACGTAGCCGAGACTTACAGCGCCCAAACAATAATTTCAGTATCGAATGACAGTCATACCGCTTACAGGAAATGAATATCTCTTTGCTTGAACTAACAGTACGAATAATTCACCGCAGTTATCTTTCGCTCGAATGATTTCCCGAATGACACAGGTGTTCTCGAGAGAAGCATAATTTCCGGTGTGGGCAAGATAACAAAGTTACGCGGCCTAGTATGCCTTGGATTAGGAAACCCTCATCGGAACATTTTGGGTTGAGGTTCACCTTGCCGCATGGTAAATCTGATCGTTGAACCCACATCCATGCAGTCGCAATTACTTTGACTCCGGATTTAACGCCCGTAACTGGGTGTGGCAGGCCCTGTTTGTAGACGGTCAGAGTTTAGGGAATGTCGAATTGGTTGTCACGGGAAATGGTAGTTACACAGTGAAGAATATGCGATGGAAGGGCTTAAAGATATTATCTACTGTGCTGTTTTCCCACCATGCACTCATAGCATAAATTATGAATCATTTGTGTGTGTGACTCAATCCCTCACCAATTACCTTGAAGCAACTGGCCGTTTACTTATTCATCACACCCGAATTCATCGGTTTTGGTTGAACTGTCTTTAGCTGTCGGTAAGTTCACATTAATGTTGCTGGACGGACAGCGGACAATGCCTCCTACCCATCCACCCTCAGTGACGTGTTTTCAGCTAGGGCACATTCAAACATTGAACGGACCCGAGGCCTCAGAGGGGTTTGGTAAACAATCGGTGGATTTATTGCTGGGCAACGTTTCGCTTGTGATACAAAAGCTTCGTCAGGCCAAGTGAGTAAGTAGGTTGATTGGGTTTTAAGGCAGTCAGGGAATTAATCCGTGAGATTCCTCATGACTAGTGACGTGATCAGTGTTGGGTGTTCAGTCTGATGTTCCTGTTTCTTGATTAGTGGGGATGACTAAGATTTACGATAGATGGGTTAGGAGTCCTTCAGTCCTTGCTTCTTCAGTCTAGAGCACCTTAATGGAAAATTCCGCTTGGGATCGTTCACAGATTTCGTTCACCTGTGTTCGTTCAAGGGTGCAGGGACAACTGGTTTGGGGATGGGGTTGGGGTGGTTAATTGGATCTAACTGTACGTGGATTTTGCACCAAACCCCTCAGAAACGATAACTTCCCAATCGGTTCCAAACACTTTCCAATTGATTGAACCCTAGGCTTGTTATTAGGTCACAACCTGTGACGTCCTAACTGAAGGCCCGATTCCCGCAGAATGAATTCGGATAATCAATCTGAATCCGCTGTGTTCGGATACACATAAAGCCTATCTCGCATTTTTGATAAAAATATTTCCCGAAAGTCGGATCATTTGGCAGAGCAACCATGAGTGTTCCCGGCTTGCCGTGATTAATGTACAGGACCCATGTAGCACATCTTGCTGATTGACTTCAAACTAATTCGTCTCAAATATATTTATTGAAGTCGAGCAGAGGTGGCCAGCTGAGAAGCTATAAGCAGCCTGTTGTGTTAGGAATTCAATATCTTAATTGAAAATGAAGGAAATGGATTGAGGTGGAAAAAATCTGAAGTGATGGTATAGAGTCATCAAACAGTCTGCAGATTTTCACAAAACATTATATGGAGAAGATGTCACTCCCGGATGGAATTCTCCAACTAGAATGCCTAAGGATATCTTTTCATCCATAGAGCACTCGTTTTGCTAAAAGGGACACGCTATTCCCTTAGTATCGTTCTTCCCATTATAACCGGATTGATTAATTGGGATGCAGATCGGAGCAAACGAAGAAAACTAATGATTAATAGACATCGCGAGTAATTGCGATCATTAGCACAACCACAGAGGCGGTTTGAGTTTTACATTGGACCTGGCTTCCTGCAGCATCGCCTCAACTTTCTAATGAGAATCTTGCTCGCTTACCGCTAAATAACGTTCATGCCTGTGTGATTAGTTGGACCTGTCGACTACATATGGTTGCGGCTTTTAATTCCAATCGTCCTGGTCTTGGTGTCGGCACAGAGCGTCGAATCGCCGCTGGACGCGGCTCGCGGGTCTTGCGTCAACCTAATGCAAACAAGCTTGCGAGCAGATATGGTCCACATTCAAGGTGGAGACGCGGTGAAAATGACGAAGATGAGAACAAAGATATTGAGACTTGCGGAGAAGGCAGTTTTCGCGTGTCCACCGAAATAAACACTGCTTTGCCAGACCCTCGAAGAACAATGTCATTACCGAAGAATAGCGTGAGTTTCGTCTGTTATATATTCGTCATTCCGGCGGTCACCAAAGGTTCTGTGACGACCATCCAATAACAGATTTTCCAT